TGAACTCACTTCCTCTGACTATATTCCTGATCATTGGACTTGAACGCTGTGGGTATCTTAAAATGGTCAAGACGTAAAGAGAGAAGCAGAGTGCTGTAATATAAAAAGTCAAAGTCTAGTTTCAAATTTCAGGTCTATTTTCCACTAGCTGTGCAACCTTGAACCCCAAGCCACCACACCACTGCCAAAGTGATACTCGAAGCAAATAACATGATCGGACCACTGTCCAGATCAACAATCTAAGAGTTCTTCATTACTAAGAAAACAGGATCTACTCTGCCTGCCTACCCAGCCACATTTTCTTGCCACTCTTCCTCATGGGCCTTGAAGCTCTAAACTTCCAAGCTCTTACACCTCCAAGAACATGCTTTTTTCTCAAACTGCAAGGCCTACCCTATCTCACCCCTTTGACTCATTCTGGTTAACTTTTATTCATCTAAGTCTTAGTACCACCACTTCTTTCTCAATAAAGTCTTCTTTTACTCTCTCTCTACTATTAAAACCTGGTCTTTTTCTTCCTTGTATTACCTAACATTTAAATTCTCTACACATGTCTCCCTCAAAATATCACATGCTCCTTGCCTAGGCATAGCACCTAGAAATTTGTGACTATCTGTGGTTGTGGATAACACCACCAAGCTCATGGGGCTGTTGGGAGGTTTGAAATAATATATGTAAAGAAGAAAACATGTATAAGAATTAAGACCATAAAACTTTTAGAAGAAAACAGATAAAGCTTCAAAACCTAGTTTTCGACAATGGATTCTTAGATATGATACCAAAAGCACAAGCAACAAAAGACAAAGTAGATAAACTGGACTTCATCAGAATTAAAAACTTCATCAAAGTATCAAAGGACTTTTATCAGCAAAACGAAGAGACAACCTACAAAATGGGAGAAAATATATTGTAACCATGTATCTAACAAAGGTTTCATATCTGAAATACATAAAGAAATATAACTCAAAAACAAAAAAACAACTCAAATTTTACAACGGCAAAAGACCTGAATAGACATTTCTCCAACGAAAACATACAAATGGCCAATAAGCACATTTTGAAAAGATGCTCAATACCATTAGTCATTAGAGAAATGCAAATCAAAACCACAATGAGATACCATTTCACACCCACGATAGCACTGGTAGCGCAGTGGTTAAGAGATTAGCTGCTAACCAAAAGGCTGCCTGTTTGAATCCACCAGCCACTCCTTGGAAACTCTATAGGGGCAGTTCTACTCTGTCCTATAGGATCGCTATGAGTTGGAATCAACTCAATAGCAATTGGTTATGGGTTAAGATGGCTGAAGGAGCCCTGGTGGTACAATGGTTAAGCATTCTGCTGTTAACCAAAAGGTTGGTGGCTGCATGGGAGAAAGACCTGGCAATCTGCCTCCATAAAGATTACAGTCTAGGAAACCCTATGGGGCAGTTCTATTCTGTCACGTGGGGTTTCCATGAGTTGAAAATCGACAGCAGCAGAGTGGCTAATATCAGAAAAGCAGAAAATAGCAAATGTTGGCAAGGATGTAGAAAAACGAGAACCCTTACCCACTGCTAGTGGGATTGTAAAAAATGGTGCAGCCTCTGCGGAAAAGTTTTCTGGTTCCTCAAAATGTTAAACATAAAATTACCATATGACCCAGCAATTCCACTCTTAGGTACAGACCCAAAAGACTTGAAAGCAGGGATTCAAACAGATACCTGTACACCAATGTTCACTGCAGCATTATTTGTAGCAGCCAAAAGTTGGAAACAACCAAAGTCCATCAGCAAAATGTGGTATATACATACAACGGAATATTCTGCCATAAACAGAAATTTAGTTCTGGTAACATGCTAAACATAGATGAACTCTGAAAACATTATGTTAAGCTAGACACAAAAGAACAAACATTATGTTAAGTTAGACACAAAAGAACAAATGTCACACTTACATGACATTTCTAGAACAGGTAAATACAGAGACAAACTTTTATTAGTGGTTACCAGGGGATGGAGGGAGGAGAAAAGGGGAGTTATTATTTAAGGGGTACTGTTCTTCTGTCGGAAACCCTGGTGGCATAGTGGTTAAGAGTTACATTTGCTAACCAAAAGGTCAGCAGTTCAAATCCACCAGGAGCTCCTTGGAAATTCTATGGGGCAGTTCTACTCTGTCCTATAGGGTTGCTATGAGTCGGAATCAACTCAACGGCAACAGGTCTGGTTCTTCTGGTTTTGAGCTTCTGTCTGTTGTTGTTGTTAGGTGCCACTGAGTCAGTTCCGACTCACAGCAAGCCTACATATAACAGAACAAAACACTGCCCAGTCCTGCACCATCCTCCAAATCGTTGTTATGCTTGAACCCAGTGTTGCAGCCACTGTGTCAATCCATCTTGTCAAGAGTCTTCCTCTTTTTCTATGACCCTCTGACTTATGTCCATCTCCAGGGACTGGTCCCTCCTGATAACATGTCCAAAGTACGTGAGACAAAGTCTCACTACCCTTGCTTCCAAGGAGCACTCTGGCTGTAATTCTTCCAAGACAGATTTGTTCATTCTCCTGGAAGTCCATGGTATATTTAATATTCTTCACCAACACCATAATTCAAAGGCATCTAGTCTTCTTTGGTCTTCCTCATTCATTATCCAGCTTTCCCATGCATGTGAGCCAATTAAAAATATCATGGCTTGGGTCAGGTGCACCTTAGTCCTCAAAGTGACATCTTTGCTTTTCAACGCCTTAAAGGTCTTTTGCAGTAGATCTGCCCAATACAATGCGTCTTTTGATTTCTTAACTGCTCCTTCCATGGGTGCTGATTATGGATCCAAGTAAAATGAAATCCTTTACAACTTCAATCTTTTCTCCGTTTATCATGATGTTGCTTATTGGTCCAGTTGTGAGGATTTTTGTTTTCTTTATGTTGAGGTGTAATCCATACTGAAGGCTGTAGTCTTTGATCTTTATCAGTAAGTGCTTCAAGCCCTCTTCACTTCCAGCAAGCAAAGTTGTGTCATCTGTGTATCGTAGGTTATTAACGAGTCTTCCTCTAATCCTGATGCCATGTTCTTCTTCATACAGTCCAGCTTCTCGGGTTATTTACTCAGCATACAGATTGAGTAAGTATGGTGAAAGGATACAACCCTGACCAAACCTTTCCTGATTTTCTGTCTAGGGAGATGAAAACCATTTGAAATGGATAGTGGGGGTGGTTGCACAACATTGTGAATATAATTAATGTCACTGAAGTATACACTTAAAAATGGTTAAAATGGCCAAAAAAAAAAAAAAGAAAGCATGGTACATAATAGGTGTTCCATCCATCACCATTTTTATCCACACCATATCCACTTCCAAGGAACTGTTATAAAAGAAGATAATGGGAGGTGAAGATAGACCTCAAATAACTGATAAACTTCTAGAAGAAATTCTGATTCTGAGTCCACGGGAAATCAAAGAACCAGAACATGTAAACTCAGCAAAAGCAAGGAGGTGGAGAAGCATGGTCCAATTCTCATGAAATCACCAGGGACCTTGGATTCTACCAAATTCTATCATTTGATGTTCACTGAAATAAAAATAATTCTTGTTATACTCCTCTGTCAATCTTTCCTACCTTTCCCAGGGAGTCACTTGAAAGTGATCCTGAGATCACAAACCAGGGTTCAGGAACATTAGAAAAATTACTCAAGATTATCACAGAGCTTCGTAAACAAAAACAGGCAGTCTCCCTCCCTTGAATTTCTCTCCCTCTCTAAGCAAACCTACATGCAAAGTTCACACTCTGGTGTCAGACTTCTCAATTTGAATTTAGGCTCTACCACTTTACCAGTTGTTTGATTTCTGTCAAGTTGCTTAACCTCTCTATGCCTCACTATTCTCATCTGTGAAATGGAGACAATAATATCCATCACATGATATCGTTGTGAAGATTTAAAAAAATAAAGTGTCTGATCCAGGGTTCAACAGATGAGTTACAATTACTAAATTAATTGTCCTAACACTGTTTTCACTACTTCTCTGCATAGAAATGTTCAACAAACAGCTCATCACTGCTCACAGTCAAACCATTCCCTCATCCCGAGTATCCTCCAGGCCTCTCCCTCACCTCTCAAGAACCCCAGGAGGCTGGGGATTAATGGACAAGTGGAAAATTATATGGCACTCCCTGAACCAGGAAAACTCTGGTGGGAGAATTTAGAATCCCTCTCTTTATTACTCTCTCCACTTTACCATTTCAGAGTTGTCCTTTTGTACTTGACTAGAATAAAACTTCGGCTTTATATCCAAATTTTTTTTTTAAAAGATGGCTCAGTGCTACCTCGGCAGTCTCTAACATATCTAAGAAATCTTTTCAAGGTATGTTTCTGATTTCATTTTTTCTATTTCCTGATTATCCCAGTTGACAGTGATCCTTCTCCCCACTGAGCTTCTATAGTGATCATTTATAACAAGCCATCATTTGGCACTTAAGACAATACAGACTTATCCAATAGAAAACATTCTAAATTAAGAACTTGCTTCTTGAAGCAATTATTTTAGATAATAATAGACCTTTTCAGTGTAGGTTTTGATTTTAAAATAATCTGCCAAGGATAATTTTTCCAACTAAAATAAATGTTTTATAAATTTCTACAGCTACAGAGATTTGGTATTCATTTAAAGAAGAGATACACTATGTATTTTAAACAATTATCTAAAATTTTCAGAAAAATTATGTACATATTCTATTTATTAAAGCTAAGTAATAAACATTTTCAAATTACTGAATGAACTGTCATTTTCCATTTTTATTATTTAGAAAAACAAAAGATAATTTTAGATAATAAAATATGTCAAATTAAAACTTTAGAGACTAGAATGGCACTTCTACTCTCCTTTAAGTACCTTTAATACCAAAAGATCCAACAGATGGGGATGTTACTATTCAAGGGAGAAATCTTTGATTAGTAAAAAGAAAAACATTCCTGCTTTTATAATAGGTAATCATAGATTTTATTATATTAATAAGCTTACAATTACCTTTAACTCTTGGCTGTAGGTAATTCAACCCTTTCCAAGAAACAAATATTGGCAACCTTTACCTATATTTCCAAATGCTTATCCATTTTATCTTTTTTCTTTACCATCAAGTTGCTTCCATAGTCACAGACAAAAGGGCTATTGTTTTGGTCCAATGGAGAGCCTCTGGCTTTAAAACATGTTTGGCGGGGAAGCTTGCAGGGGGAGACAGAAAGGAAATTAAAATGATTCCAAAATAACTATTTCTCAGTTTACCTCAATTTTCCTTTTACTGAGGTTGGCTTCAGTATTTAACTTTTTTTATTATATAATATTTGGTGCAAAATAATATATGTAGCCTATCTACCCTACTGATAAATTACTCAGTAGATTACTCAGTAGATTATTTGATCTGTGTTCACAGATAGATGCTTTATACACCTGGCTGAAAAAAGAGCACAAGGTCCAGCTATTTATGGAGGTCATTAACATTTCAAATAGCTAAGATAAAGTGCTTTCACACTTTGCCTAATCTTCCTCTTACACAGCTTGGTCTCAAGCCTTTATTAAATGTGAGGAATTCAACAGCTTCAAAATTCAAAACTAACCACATGTATTGGAAAACTACCCTTATTTTTCCTGTGTCTCATGTCTTTTTTGGAATGTTTCAAAAAATTGCCAGAATTGCTTTTTGAAAATGTTTGTTTTCCTAAAAGCAGTTTTAAACTTAGGGAGCAAGTTTTGCGTATGCCCTAAAAGGAGGAACTGCGAACAGTTGGTTATGAAGTGGAGTAGTGTGGGGGGAGAAAGGATGAAGTAAGCAGGGGCCAGCTTAGGAAGGCTCAGTGGTTAAGAGAAGGGACTTTGGTCTGGCAAGCCTCAGCTCAAAGTGTGCTAGCCACTTATCAGCTAAGGCAACCTTGGACAAATTAGTTAGCCTTTCTAAATTGTCTCACTTGCTAAATGAGGGTTAACAATACCTAACTCATTTGGTTTGAGAGTATGTTTAGCACGGAATTAGCTGGTATTATTATTCAACCTAGGTAGTTAAGTTAAAGTTCAAAGGGCAACAAAGAACCACTATAAAGAATTTTAAGCAGAGAAAGACAGACATAACTGCAGTTTAGAATGGAGAGGTAAAACTGGAACTCAAAGATCAGTTAGCTGGCTGTTTCAGAAACTATAGTGGCCTGTGCCAAGGTGTGAAGCAAAATACAATAATGGATTCCAGAGATACTACGGATTTAAAATTGATAGTACTTTGGGGTTAACTGTGGGTGAAAGAGAAGAAAGAATCAGAACGACATCCCAGTTCTGGCTCTGATGGTCGTACCATCCTTTACTGGAACAAAAACAAAAAAGGGCTTCAAGGAATGCTGTTGGGAGGACAAAACAATCAGTTAAGTGTTAGCCTTGTTGGGTTTAATATAGGTACAGAACAAACATTTGGTGAGCTGGTAGAATATGGATCTGGAGTGCAAGAAAAATATCTGAACTCAAAATACAGATCTGCGAACCATTAACATATACAGGATGTTAACTGAAGATATGGGACTGGAGATTACTCAAGGAAAAGGGTGGGGAGGAGGAGAAAAGATGAGAATCCTATGAAACTCTAATACTTAATGACTGAAGGAGGAAAAATTTGCAAATGACACAGAGGTCACAAATAGGAGCCCAGGCAATATCATGAAACTCATGGGAAGGGTTTCAAGGAGGAAAAAGTAGTCAGTAGTGCCTGTCAACTGCTGCTGAGAGATCAAATAAGCACACAAAGATCCATAGGGGTAGGAATAGAGAGAAGTACCCAGGGTGATTATACTGGGAAAGGAGAAAAAAAAAAAAAGGTATAAAAAGAGACAGACGGATCTCTTCTCTTCTACCAAAATACTGCTAACCACAAAACTTTCAGGTTTATTTTTTCTAATATCATCCAAACACAGAAAACCAAATTCAGTCAAACAGTTTCTTAAGCATACCAGCAGTTAATGAATGAGCCTGTCCTAAGTGGACAACAAAAAAGTTACCTCCTAAAACATTTGCCTAATTTTATAGAGAAGCCATACAGGAAAAACATTACAAAACTGTTAAGTTCCCCTATTACACAGAACAAAGAGACCTTGTAATATTAAGCCACTGGTTCTAGGTTCTCTCAAGTTTTTACCAGCTTACTATCCTTTAACATTTTTCCTTATGTTATTCCTTATGCAAGAAAAAGAAAATCACTGCACTTCCCTTGAATAGCAATTAACAACAGAGACTCTGAATATATTTAATATCCCCTATGGATCATTTTTTTCCCTCCATTCTAAGAGAATAAAAGACATCTATCTATCACTGTTCATATGCTATCCCAATATTATGACATTTAGACCAATTCAAGATATTCAGAAAACTGGTTCTCACCCTTCCTTCCTATGAAATCAACCTACTAAAAGGATACATCCTAGTTCTATCAACCAGGGACCAGTACAGTTGATACTAGAACTCAAAGTTCTAGTGTTCTCCAAAGTGCAACAGTAGATTAATCTTTACCGTGGGTGCCCATTAAAATTTAATGTACAGCCTAACTTGAAATGACCTTCACTAAAATTGTTCTATTTACAATTATCTTCACCTCTACCTACCATAAAATTAAACTCTGTTAAGAAGAAAATCAGATACGGTTCTCAAATTCAGAATAAGGGAAATGTCTGTGATACAAATATTTAAGCACCAACACAAGTTTTAAATATGCAAATGAAATTCATGTTATACTATGAATAGCGATTACCTATATAAATTTCTGACACACAGCAAATTTGAATACATCAATAATGTATTTCCTAATAATGATTTCATTGATTAAAAGTGATGAAACACCTGTAAATCAGTAATAGACAATTTTAAGTTTTCTCTTCTATTACAAACGTTAAGAAAATCAAAGTGTCTGGAAAACTCAAACTCTTCAGCCATGACAAACAAAATAGATAGTAAAAAAAAAAAATTTCCCTTAGCAAGCACAATGCTCAACATATGAACTTTAGTTCTAAAAGTTAGCCATAACTAAGCTATCAATAAATTGAAATAAAATTTTACAGAAAATAAGTTTTATTTAAATTATAAAATAAGCTAGGGTATTTAATTCAAGATCACACACACTCATGGCTTATCATCTGCCTCCTATTAACAAATTAAATACTCCTGTCTTAAATTTTGCTTTAAAAAAAAATTTTTTTTTTTTACTCTATTCTGGAACATTAGGCAACTAGTTTATAAACCCAAACTGTTTCAGCCTGTTCCACTTAACAGACTAGCTATTAAGAGTATATACATAATCAGCAGCCACTGCCAAACAAAGTATGCTCTTAAAGACAAACAGAAACAAACTATGTCCAAAATCATTATGTGTATCTATGTGTTATCCTACTTTAACTGAAAACCAATGAAATACTGGAAAGGTGCTGACATACCATTTTAAAACCTAGAATGATACATGTTAATTCTCCATTTCTGTATCATATTAAAAAAAAAAATCAAGATTCAAAATGCACACGTAGCCACAAAGCCTATTCAAATCTGTTCAGAAACAGGTAAAAGTAACATTAACTGGCACTACTCTAGCCCCATCTCTAAAGACATTTCTGATAGATTTTCTTGGAAGAAAATATTTCTTCTGACATGAAGAAGCACATACTAAGGAAAGCTGGCTTGAACAACCACCAAAACCAAAACCCGGTGCCTTGGAGTCGATTCCGACTCATAGCGACCCTATAGCCAGTATAAAATATTAAGCCCCCTACTTACTGATAACAATACATATAAAAAATATGTTCAGTTTCCTTTAGCTGATTTTAATGTCCAGAATATGGATTTAGATCCATCTACATCTTGGCAAATGGAGTTTAAAATACAACCCAATCAACACTTCCGAGCACTTCACAGACACATTTTAACAGAAAATTTAAGGAGCTACCCATTAGAGAAATTCTGAAGCACATTCTGCTGGTGACTATATAAATTGGCCTAACCTTTTAAAAAGCAATTTGGCCACTAAAGTGTTCATACCCTTTGATCTAGAAAGCTCACTCCAGGGTATTTTTCCAAAAGAAATAAATCTTTAAAAAAAGGAAAATATTTTAAAGCTACATACAGAAGTCTGTTCAGTGGAATACCTTTTAAAATGGTGAAAATCAGGAACAACCTAAATGTACAAGAGGCAAAAGACAAGGTAAATTGAGGTCCATCAACTTAAAAGCTCTCAAAATTAAAACAACTGATACGTCTAAGTGAAAAAAATATATATATAACTGCACTTATTTACAATTATGGAAAATACAAATATGGTAAAGTATAGACGGAAAAAGGGAAAAATGAGACCACTACACAATGATCTTTTTGTGGATCTGTTGGTAATTTTTCTTGATTTTATTATTATAATACTGTTTAAGCAATAGATAGGGTAGGAAAGCGGTAATTTAAAAACCTCTGCGTGCTCTGGAACAAGTAGCAGAGGTTGTAGAACAACTTTTCTACCTTAATCTCTATCAGAGCAAAGAGCAATAATATAAAGAAAACAGTCTGTAAAGAAAAATTCTGGTACTGAGACACACTACAATTATTCCCTAAGTAAGAAATGTCAATACAGTCATAGATACTTTTTTTCTAAGTTTTGGTAGCCTGCCTATAGTTTTTAAAAATATAAATCCATTCATTTCCTGTATCAAAAGGCTGTTAACTACTTATCTCCAGCTCTGACAGAACGAAAAGTATGAATGAAGGAGAAAGCAGTTTTACCTTGTTCTCTAGGAAATGAATCAATGAACTTTTTAAAAACAAAGCTAAAACCATGAGGATATTAAAAATGTCAATAGATTACTAAATTTAAAATGCATTATGCCGAAGTTAAAAGGGGGCTGAAGCAAAAAAGAAAAACAGGTGGCATTTAAATTCCTTAAAAAGAGCAAATTTAAGCCTAGCACCCTTATCTCTTTTGTCTACTTAATAACAGCTTAAGTTTAAGGAAAATGACATAGCCGATAGACCTCAAGATGTCATTTATAAAAACTGACAAATGACTGCTCAAACATCCAGTCCAGGATAAAAACCTGTTACTGGAAATTACTTTGATTCCATTTTTTTAAATGACACTCAAATTCTAAACTGAAAATAATGATAGAAGAAAGTCAAGTTTGATTCTCTGAACACCTATTTCCTGTCCAAACAGCCCTTTTGTTCTGCTTCCCTGCTTAATTTTACTGTTCAGTTTGCATCAGAAAATAGAAACAATGACAAAACCTAGCAAGCACAGAAACATAAAGGAGAAAAGTGTAAAATAAAGAATCATTAAAAGATTAGAACAAAAATCCTACCAACAAAACCTCCACAATTTTCTGTTTGCTTCACCTCAGATTAACTTCACTTGAAGCTGTACTTCCAAGGCAACCAAACCTGAATACCAAGCTCCACCTTCTCCAATTCTAGTGGCTAAAGAGTAAAATCTCCTCCCTGTTAGTGAAACAGATAATTGTGATTGGATACAGCTAATATCCATTATTTTAAAGAACTTTTCCTTGGTAGCAGGTTAGGTTAAACACACTAAAACCCCCCTGGATAAGCTGGTTTCTTAAAGAAACAGTCAGTAATGTTTCAGTTTTTCCATCATATAAAATTTGCTTATTCTTTTGTCTAGGTGAAAAATATATAAGTAACACAAATCAGTCTCACAGAAGAAGCTTTATCTGCAGTTCAGTGACCAATTGTTTAAAATGTAATTCTTTTAATCTAAATCATTTCATATTTTTACAAAGCCATGAAGGTGGCTTTAAAAAGACAGATTCCTTTTTCAACAGAGCTCATATTTTGTCTGAAAAATTTAAAACAGCAGCAGAAAATTTACTGCAAAATTTTGCTGAAAAAAGGAACAAAATGTTTTTTCTCTAAGACTTAAAGAGAGTAAGACCATAACGTTAAGTCAAAATATACTGCGCTAAGATAGTGAAAGCAAAAGAGTCATTTCTAAGCTATCTTTCAAATTCTGACATGTGAGTGTTTTGTCAAGGTTAAAGCTTATCCACTGTAAATGAAGACCTAGAAGGAAAGGCAACTTATTCCAATGACATGTTCAGGTATAAAGTTTAGAAAGGCTGAAGTTTTTGTTGTTGTTTATTAAAAAAAAAAAAGGTGTTAACTATCTTGCACCCTCCTTGAGCATTACTTCAAGGTGACATGGGCACCCTAAGGTGCAGCTGAACGGTATATTCCTCTTAAAGTCCTAAAATACATTAAATGGTATTTTTTCTACAAGAGTCTACAGAGATACTATCCAGGCACTCTGCTTAAAAAAAAAAAAAAGGCAGTCACTATACATTACTAAGTTTGCTATATTTTACTATGTAAGTTTATATGTTTTCATTAGAACCATTTACCTTTTATTGGGTTGGCCCATCAAATATTACTCAAATACTAATCATTATCCGATCAATTCAATAGTATTTAATTTGTTTAGTAAAGTATAATTTTCATCTCTACCAAAAAATTTTGACTGAGTCCTTTTTAAAAATTCAAAAATAAAGCAAATTAGAGTGAATTCTTTTAAAAATATTTGTTCAATAAATATACATTAAAGGCTTTTTATTTAAATTTATGGTTTTCAAAATTCAAATTCTTAGAAGCCATTTTTCCTCAAAGAAAATTCGTATATTAGAACAACACAAAGCCAACAAACTTGTTTTGAATACAAAGAGAAGTCTGTAACAAACTGAAAATTCACATAATTGCAACCTGACATGAATATGGAGCAATACCCTGCAGAAGCCCAAACAGCTGCATAATCTATTATGCCCTTTAAGTGGACAAATTGAAAGAGCCAATTCACAGAGGTCTAGTCCCAAGATCCTTTGCAAGGATTCACTGCTTTGAATGCCCAGCACTGTGAGTCAAGTTCAGGTTTCCTTTCCTCTGTGAGGACACTCTTGCAAAAAAAAAACACTGGAAACAAGAAGAGGTACCAGAGCAATCAGCAGAAAGAATACATATTTTGAAGTAGAGCATAAAACGTGTGGAAAATATGTTGTAGATGGCTAGAAATTTTACCGGGTTACAGAAAAACAGATGGTAAACATTTTAACCTTAAAATTTGGCAACTAAAAATTGGTCAACAGTTATGGAGACCAAATAAATCTTTACTCTGACATCAATTTTTCACTTCAAGGTCAATTATCTGTATGAAACAGACACATATTATATGCACTAATATAATACCAGTCCACTCTCAATCCGTACCTAAGAGAAAATAAAAGAGGAATATGGAGCTAGCTATTCTAAATTGTTCAGAGATCTCCAGGACCTACTTGAAAGAACTGCGAGATGGTAAAAATATTCTTTCATGTGCCATAGAGGTTAAAGTTAAGGGTGTTTTATTCCATTTCTAAATCATCAGCAGCAGAAAACAACAAATAAAAGGACGGCAGTACCACAACAATAAAACTTGTAACCAAGATTATATGAAAACAATATTGCTTCACAGGAACAAGAGGACTGCAAAAGCTCTAAGACTCCTGATTGTATGTGTCAAAATCACTTTTTGAACATCAAGTATTCAAAGGATGTACTGTGTGTTCCTTGTGGGAACCCAAAGGTTTTCTCTCCAAACATATCAGCTAAAAAAGATTTAGAAGAGAACAAACTACTGAACAACTTGGTATCATGTCACTTCTGATTAAAAAAAAGACCTTATATAATCAATATCTGGACTATTAGGAACAACTTTTGGTAGAATATGTACAGAGCAGGATGAAAATTTTCTTAGAATCTTAAAGGACTGAGAATAGCTCAAGCTGTTCCTCCCACAACAGAAACGAATCCCAAGGCATTCTCCATGGGCACCATAGGTAGTTTATGCAGTAGTTGATGAAAGGACCACCGTCACATAAGCAAAACATTTATGGGATCACTAAGGATGTAAAAATAAAGTCTGAAAACCACAGTCTACTGGGGGAAAAAACATTATTTTGAAAAATATTTCCCTGATAAATACATATTGCCTACAAAGTGAGGTATATATTTGTGTTTGCTACCCCTGACATACATCTTCTAACTCATTAAGGGAAAAAAAATACAAGGTGTATATGCAGGGGTGGGGATGATAATGGCCCATTCCCCCAAAAACAATGAACACAAATGAAACATCAAGGAAACATACAGATAATAAAGAATAAAACAAGATGATAAAAGAAGTATCTTTCTATAAAACAGAGTAAATTGCTTTGTGTAAATCTAAAAGGATCATCAAGATTACCTACATATGTAGACCAAAGTATGAGTAAAGGACAAAGCATTCATAGTCCTCAACTAAGATTTAATAGTCACAAACTTTCATGTGCCAAACAACACACCCACAGATCATCTAATTAAACAAACTGCTAAACACAGAAAATTGGGCAGAAACACAACTGGTAGACTTTAAGATCCCCTTCTCTCCTTAGCAGTCTAAGCCAGCAAAAAAATAAAAAAGAAAAAGGATCCAAATTAATTATTTAATAATTTTTTATGCAGCTATCAAAAGAAATGCTTCTTTTCTCAATATTAAAAAAAAAACAATTCTGAAAAGCAAAAATTGAACAAGTAACATTATCTGATGATTATATGATTATACAATAACATTCAAAGTTAACAGAATTAGTTAACACATCCAACAAAACTTTTTAACACCTACTATGTGCCAGGTACTACAAGCTGCTGTGGATACAGTCAATGGTAAACAAAACAAACGTGGTCCCTACCACTGCAGAAACTTACAATCTACAGTCAGACCAGCACTGTCCAACAGAAATATAATGGAAGCCACATGTAATTTTAAATTTTCTAGTAGCCATGTTAAAATGTTAAAATAAGCAAGTGAAATTAATTGTAATTAACACAATACACAGTATTACTAAAATATCATTGCTTCAATATGTAACCAATATTTTAAAAATTAAAATATGTTCATTCATTTTGGTACTAGAAATCCAGTTCACATTTTATACTTGCAGCATATCTCAATTCAGACTTGCCACATTTCACCAGCCAGGTGTGGCTATTTAAATTGAAATAAAATATGATAGCCATTAGCCATGTGACTATTCAAATAAATTTAAATAAATCTCCATTACTGCAGAAGACTATATTTCTATTGTCCAACACAATAGTCACTAGCCACATGTGGCTACTGAGCACCTGAAATGTGGCTAATAAGACTGAAGAACTCAATTTTAATTTTAATTAATTTGAATGTAAATAGTCATAGTGGCTGGTGGCTACCATATTGGAAACTGCAGCTCTAGAGGAAGAAACAGACACTAAAACAAACCACACACACTTAATGAATTGCAGTTGTTAGAAGTGTTACCAAAAAAAATGCCCCGATATGAAAAGAGCACTTAAAGTCAACAGGAGAGCCGTCCCTACTTGAAGGCCACAAGGAAGGATTCCTTAAGGAAAAAACAATTAAGCAAAAGAATTGCATACGCAAAGGGCTTGAGTAGGAAAAATTGAAAATACAGTAGAAATAATTAAGGAAAAGAAAAAGGGGAAAGATAATCTATCTGTGAGAGACCGACTTAGATCACAGAATCTAAATTGGATGGGGGTGGAAGGAAGCAGCCTTACCACTTACTTGGAAATTATACCTGTTACCATCGATTCACAGAGGTCACATAGGACAGAGTAGAACTGCCCCATATGGTTTCCAAAGAGTGACTGGTAGATCTGAATTGCTGACCTTTTGGTTAGCAGGCGAACTCTTAACCACTGTGCCACCAGGGTTCCTGCAAATTACAAGTGTCTCCCAAGTTAAGTCCTGAAATAAAGCTTCTGACAGTCTCCTCACTCAGTAAACTCCAGTCATTCTGACCTCCTGTGCAATCCTGAATTAAGCCAAGTAATTTTATATCCCTTCTGTGCTAGCAGTTCCCTTCACTTGGCAACTTCCCCTAGCTCCTTCTTGACCTGGTCCTCAGAATCACAGTTCCAAATTTTCCATACAGGGCAAGCTTTGGTGCAGCAGTCTGGTTGAAACATGGGGCAAGAGGCTCAAAACTGTTTGCAAGGCACCTTCTACAGAATTTTTTAAAAACTCAGTTTGTCAAAAAAAAAAAAAAAATGTTCTGACACATTGCTGAAGCTAAAGAAACTCCCCCCATCACAACTTGGCACCGCCACTAAGCATAAATGTTACAACCTTAGAGAGACATTCTCAGAATACCCAACTAGCTCTCTCCAATCTCTATACACACCCAACCCCTAGCCGCCTAGTCGATTCCTAGCGACCCTATAAGTCAGAGCAGAGCTGCCCCACAGGGCTTCCAAGGAGTGGCTGATAGACTGGAACTGCTGACCTTTTGGTACGCAGTCAAGTTCTTAACCACTGCACCACCAGGGCTCTCCAAACTCTTTTTTTAAAAAAACCAAACCCGTTGCTGTCTGAGTCAATTCCAACTCATAGGGGCCCTATAGGACAGAGCAGAACTGCCCCATAGAGTTTCCAAGCAGTGGCTGGCTGGTGGATTCAAACTGTGACCTTTTAGTTAGCAGCTGCCAATCTCTACAGCACACCATATTTCCTTCCTTTCTAGCACTTGTCAAAATCTGAAAAGTATTTACTGGTTTGCTAATTCCCTGCCTATCCCAAAATAAGACTATAAACTCTATGAAGGCAAAGAACTTGTCTTCTTCATAGTTGTCTCTTCAGCACTTAGCACAATGTCTGGCATGAAACAGGTGCTCAAATACTTGTTGGAAGAATGAAAACTGCAGCTGCAGGTTTTTGTAAAATAAAAATCTTACATGTCAAAATTTAAGGGATACACCTAAAACTGTTCAGAGGAAAAAATTAATGGCATTAGATTTTTTTCATTATACAACATAAAACAAGAAAGTGTAAAAATAAAACATTTAATTTTTTTAATAGTTTAAAGTTTCAAAACCAAAAATTGCCTTGAAATCCCAAACCAATCAACTAAAAAACTTTAGACTACCAAAGTAGCCACTAACAATTTTGGGGGGAAAGAAGAGGAAAGGTGACTTAACAGTAACAAAAATTAAAATATATTATCATGCCCAGTTAATAAAACTGTGTTGTTGTTAGTTGCCATGGAGTTGGTTGTAATGGTGCCAAATCACTGGTATTGGATAAAAGCTAAAAGAACAAAGTACGTATGATGTAGGAGTCCCTGGGTGGCACAAATTGTTAAGCCCTTGGCTACTAACCCAATGGTTGGTGGTTCGAATTCACCCAGAAGCACCTTGGAAGAAAGGTCTGGTGTACTACTTCCGAAAGGTCACAGCCACTGAAAACCCTATGGAGCACAGTTCCACTCTAACACACATGGGGCCACCACAGGTCAAAGCTGACTCGACAGCGACTGCTTTTTTATAAAGCAGTATCTTTATTTCAAGGCAATAAAAAAAAGATGAATAATTTTCTAATGGCATTAAAATAAGTGGTTAACTAGGAATAATAAGTGAAATTATTTCACTTCACATCATACATCAAAATAAATTCCAGATAAACAGAAAGAGACAGATGTGAAAAATGAAACCATAAAAGAGCCAGAAGAAAACTTATCTGCACAAGAGAATCCCTTAAAAAAGCAAAGTAGAAGTCATGTTGTTATTGTTAGTTGCCATTGAGTGGATTCCAACTCAAGCCATGGGAAGGATGTATTAACCTACATTTTTTAAAAGGTAAAAATTCATACTAAAAAACACTGTAAGCAAATGAAGAGCCAGGAAAAATATTTGCAGCATGTGTTACTATCCTAAATATATAAAAGGAGTATCACAAATATAAAACACTCTCCAAAATGGGCAAAAGAAAAACTAGAAGATATCCAATATCCATATCTTTATTCATCATCATAGGTAATTTAAAAAATGTTTAATAAATCCTATGAAATAGATGGACGGCAGGAAGGAAGTATAATACCCAATATTGGTAAAGACAAGGAGGAAATGTATATTCTCTGATATTTTTTGTCAAATTTTATCCTATAATGTTGGTCAAACTTTTTAAGAAGGATCAACAGGCAATATTTATGCGAAGACTTTAAAAAGTTCACACATTTTGACTCAAAAATTCTACAACTAAGACTAGCAAATCCTAAAGAAATAATGAGAAATCCAAAGATTTAGCTCTTACGATGATCTTCACCGCACTATAACAGAAAAAAGGATAAAACAGCACAAGTTACACACAATAGGTGACTAGTTAAATTACAGTGCTTCCATAAGATGAAATACTAATACCCTTTAAAAATCATGTTCTTAATACATGGGAATGTAGTTGTAAACATGAGGAAATCCCTGATCTCAAGGATTTTATATTCCAACAGAGGAGAGAGAGAATAATAAACAAAGAAAAAATAATTTCAGATAATGGTAGGTTCTATGAAGAAATAAAGCAGGATCAAGCTTGGTCAGCAAAGGTGCTTAGCAAAGGTATCTCTGAGGGGGTGACTTTGGAGCAGAAATTTGACCAGAGTGTTCTAGACAGAATGAACAGCAATTTTAAGGGTTCTTGGCATGCTCAAGAACCACAAAAAGCCAGTGTGGCTAGAGGTGAATAAGTCAGGGGGAAGAGTGGTAGAAGACAGGTCTATGAAGCAGGCAAGGCTAGACAATCTAGGGCCGTACTGTCCAATACAGTTGCCACTAGTCACTTTTGGCTTTTGAGCGCTAGAGATATGATTAGTCTGAACTGAGATATACTGTAAGTGAAAAGTCGTAATCGACTCCACGGCAACGGGTTTGGTTTGATTTTCTGGAAGTGAAAAATACACACCGGATTGTGAAGATAGTATGAAAAAAGGAAAGTGAAATATCCCATTAATAATTTCTTATATTGATTACTTGCTGAAATGATAATATTTTAGGTTAAATAAAATATGCTTCACCTGTTTCTCTTTTCAGTAATGTGGCCATCAGAAAACTTTAAACTACTATGTGGCTCCCATTGGACATTTGCTGGCTAGGGTATCATAAGCCATAGTACAAAGTTTGAATTTTATTTTGTGCATTGAGACTTTTGAGCATGGCAGTAAGATAATCTAATTTACACATTTAAATGACTATGCTCCACAGGAGCAGCTAGAGTAGACTGCAGAGGAGCAAAAGTTGAAGCAGAGATACCAGTTAGATGACTACTATACCATCTTACCACCACCCGTCTGTCAGTTTGTTGTACTGTGGTAGCTTTCGTGCTGCTGTGATGCTGGAAGCTATGCGACTGGTATTCAAATACCAGCAGGGTCACCCATGGTGGATAGGTTTCAGTGGAGCTTCCAGACTAAGACTAGAAAGAAAGGCTTGATGATCTACTTCCAAAAATTAATCAATGAAAACCTTATGGATCACAACAGAACACTGTCCAACTTGCTTGCTTTGGACATGTCATCAGGAAGGATCAATCACTAAAGGAGGACATCATAGTTTGGTAAAGCAGACGGCCAGTGAAGGCAAGGGAGACCCTAGGTGAGACGGATTGGCACAACAGCCACAATGATGGAGACAGTCATGAGGATGGTGCAGGGCTGGGCAGCCTCTAGTTCTGTTGTACATAAGGTCACCATGAGTCGAGTCCACTAGACAGCAGCTATCTATCTATACCTAATATTGGTTAGAATTCAACTTTTAATTGTTTAGGATATGCAGAATACACACAGAAAGACCAGGAGTACACTTGCCAAAAATGGTAACAATGGTTATCTCTGTTATGAATGACTCTTCTTTGTAACTTCCTATTACTTTTGAAGGTTTGAAAAACAAAATGCATTACCCTTATAATTAAATAGAAAAGTGAATTTCTTAAAGCAGGGTAGTACAGCCCTAACAAAACATCCTGATTATCTGTCTGAAAGCTACATATACTACAAAAAATGAAACCATCTCTGTCACACTTTCCAATAAAAACAGGTTTTTCAAAGCTAAACATAAACTCGTACTACACACAACCTCTTATCTTTAGAAAATTAAGGAAATATTGCTACCTAATTTGTCACTGCATTGCTGTTAGCATGATGAACAAAATAGAAACTCACCTTGAGGGCATTCCTAACTGAGGCTAAGAAAATAAAAAATACTTAATGTGTGGTTGACGTTTTCTAGAATATCCACACTTTTTTCTCCAAAAATGTTCCAAAAGACACATTCACTGTAATTCCACAAAAAACCATCTTGGTCCTAATTGCTTCCCTTAAAGGCTCTGCCACTTGATATGTGCTTCCTTAACTAAAGTCTGTGCAAAACTGGTATGATAAGCGGCAGCTTTCTTTTACGTGAGTATACTAAGGCACAAAAGACTTTTTAATTAACTTGCCAGAGATTAACAGTAGGGTGTAGGAGGGGAACAGAGTGATTTATTTTACACACAATCAAGGTTTTTTCCTACTAACTTACCATTTTTGCTTTGAAAAAGGAAACAGCAAATAGTGCAAGACATTTTAAAATGTGATTTGAAACGAAGAGATTAATTATTTATTAAGAAGGATCTGATTCTTATGCAAATGTTCAACAACTATGAACCAATTACTATGGCTATGAATCTTCCATTTAAATGTAATACACAATCCCAGTGCTTTCCATTCAACGCGTTTCTAGTATTTCAATCCATTCTATGCTGGCTACCTAAAACATTCTACCCTAAGTACTACAGCTACATTAAGTATTTACCCTAGAGAAACTCTAGCACTATGTGCACCAGGAGCCAGAAACAAGGTATGTTCACAGAGCACAGTTCTTAATAACCAAAAAAGAAAAACCTGTAAACAGCTTAAATGCCCATGAGTTAAGGCAGATTAACACAGAATTATACAGCAATGAAGATGAGTGAAACATAGTTACAAACTATTTTTATAAAAGAAAAGCAAACTAAACACAGTGTTTGGGTATGCAAATACATGTGGTAAAACTTTTTTAAAAAGGAAAGAAAACGATAAACACAAAATCAACTAGACTTGGATTACTTCAATGCAAAGAGGCAGAAATAAGAAACTCCTAAGTAGATGCATGTTTTGGCAAAGTTCCAGTTCTTGGTTGGGTAGAGGGGTCAAGGATTTTTATTGTTTTATGGCTTTATGTTATATGGTGTTAAGTATATTCCTTTGCAAGTGTTTAGATGTATTTTCTGGTTACTCTTTGGGGCAGTTTACATGGCTTTAATGAGGTATGAATGACATACAATAAACTGCACGTTTAAAGTGTAAAATTTGGTAAGTTTTAATGTATGTGTACACTGAGGAAATTGTCAATACAATCAAATAATAAATCTATCACTTCCTAAATTTTCATTCTTAACTGTAATCCCTGCCTCCCTTAAATATATTTTAAAATGTAAAAGAAAAAAAATTTAAAACCTGTTCTGGAAATTTAAATATGCATATTTTC